AGCGAGCGCACGTGTTTGCAGGAAGAGGTAGGTGATGGAGGACAGAAGGTGGGTGTCTTTCATCTTCACACTTTTTTATTAAGCAAGCCTCCTACTGTTTACAAGGACTGATGCCTATTTGCACACATATAAACCAGCGCTACATACCTACACAGTAACCTCCCTCCCTTCCTTCCACTACATCAGATACCACCCACATATATATATAGTAAATGACCTCAGAGCTGCCGTCTGTGAAAGTGGATTGTAATCAGACAGCATTGTGTCTGTCAAACCCAACCAAGGTTACTTAACCTCCCAGTCCTAATTTCCCTTCCATTTCAGCTCCTTCCTCCATATCAAACATCAGCACATCTATGAGAGACACACAAAAAAAAAAGGAAGAGAAGAGAGCAGGAAGGAAAATGAAGATTGCCTTGCTTGGCTGAAGCTCGGAGATGAAAGTAGAGGATGATTCACTTTGCTATTGCAAAATGAACTGAAGCAGGCTGAGCTGAGCTGGGCTGGGCTATTTTTAAACTTCTGTACGCCGCAACAACTGGCAGAGGACAATGTGAAGCATCAGAAATCATTTCTATATCATGAGAGACAATTTTCCAAGAAGACTTTTGGGAGTTGTCACCAGACACAATGGAGAAGTTTTTAACTTGCCTTGAAGGTTTAATACCTTCTTATATCATGAGAGAATTTGGTGTCTTTCATTAGGATCTATACCAGGGGTCTTTAATGTTTTCCAGGCCAAGGACCCCTAAACTGATGGCGAGATGGAGCAGGGACCCCCTAATTATATATATAGCATGAAATTGTGTTATATCAAACTGGTCTTATAGTCACTCTATTACAGATGGAGTAATATAACAAAAGTAATTACTCCCTGGGAATATTAAAGTATTTCTGATTCTGATTCCTGGTTGATGGGACAGGTGTTGTGAATGAAACGGTGCCCAGCTTAAAAGAGCTCCTGTGTGTCACTGAATGTGTGCATTGAGTGAAAGACATCTTCTGCCTCCATTTATCTGTTTACTACAGGGTGTTGAATTCATGTTAATGTGGATTTAAAGACATTTCAGTTAGTGGAAAAAATTGCAGTACCTCTGTAGACCCCTTAGGGATCGCGAACCCCTGTTGAAGACCTCCGATCTATATGATTAACCTCCACTAAGACCTGCATTATATTATAAGTTGTAGGGAAACGGCTGTTTGATTGACAGATGGCCGTTGATGTGTGATTGGACGAATTTAGGTGTACAAGCTGATGTATAACTAACTGGCCTGCATAAGATAACGAAAAAAAACAACACAGATTTCTAAGACAGACTTTTTTTTAAACAGACATTTTCTAACTTTTTGGACATTATCATCTAATAAAGAGTATATTTATATACACATTCAAGCCAGAATGATTTGACATTTAAATATGATTTCCCTGCTACTTTAAAGACAGAATGTTTTGCAAATCTGCAGAAGGATGATTTTCTCTGCTCATTTTTCAGTCAGAGTATCTCTCAACTGCATATTTCAAATACCTTTAAATGGTCTTTACTGGAATTATGCCCAGCATTTAACATGAATTTGCTTTGATTGAATCCATTCTTTTGTATCTCTGGCTGTATGTTGAGTCCTATAATGGACTAGAACCTTATCCAAGCTATACCGTGCATCTCTCCCAATGACCACTTGACATTGGATACAGCTTCTGCATAATCCTGTAGGGATAAGTGGGCATAGACAAGAGATAGATGCATTTAAGGATGTTATCCCGTTAGAAGGTGAACCTCCATCCTTTTCTAAAGTATTTTGCAGACTCAAACAACTTGCAGGGTTGTCCTGGATTCAGCTTATTTCATCCCCTCATCAATTCTAACCAGCATCCCTCTCCATGCTAAAGATGCTAAAGAAAACCAGCCCCAAAGTTAATTCCTTCTATATTTGTAATGTTAAGGGTTATGTGCAGTGATAGTTAACAAGTGAATTGAGTTATCAGAGAGATCAACTCTGGTGTTACTTGAGCAAAGCACCGACTTCTACCTGGCTTGTCTCAACAGGCTTTTTCAACAAGAATTTAATCAGGTGGCATTAGAGATATTTGATTAAACTATAATATATCATGTGGTATGGGAGTAAAGTAGAGTTAATACAAAGACAAAGCACCCTTTTCAGATTTTCATTAATAAAAAATCTGGTGCTGGTCTGTTGTGTGGTGTCAAAAATGAATGCTACAAATGGCCCCCCAAATGCTTTTATGTGGCCAGAGTTCTGAATGACCTCTTTCCCACTGGCTAAAAAAACTGTTTAAACCCAGGAACAATCAGCTTTTAGTGGCAGTGGGAACAAATAACTCTGCATGCGACCCGTGTTAAAATTGCCTCGGCTCTGATTGGCATGCAGTGGGAACACCAGACCCAGGTTGATACGCTAAATCACATGATGAATTTGAGCGCGACGTACGGACGTCTCAACATTGTGCTGGTTAAATAACAAGCCCAAACAACTCTGCTTGTATTCCAGAAACATGGCACAGCACTGGCAAAATAGAGAGATTTGTGGGAGCGGTGACCTAGTGGTTAGGGCATAGAGCTTGGAATCCTGAAGTTCTGATTTCAAGCTCTACTCCCACAGACTGCCGCTCTGGGTCCCTGACCAAGACCCCTAACCCACACTGCTCCCAAGGCGCTGCACAATGGCAGCCCACTGCTCCCCAAGGGGATGGGTTAATGCAGAGAGTTCACTTCATTGCTCTGTACTTGTGACAGTGTAATGACAACAAAACACTGGGAACAAAAAGGAGCATAAAATTAAAAAAAAAACTGCAGAGAAGAAACATGGACTCATGGTCTGAATATATTGGTGGGTTGATGGTAATAAATCTGAAAAAAAACTTTTTTTTGAAAGTGCTTGTGGAGAGCTGTCCATCCACTTTCTATCACGCTTTATCCCTGCAGGAGTTGCGATGGGTGCTGGTGCCTATCTCCCGCTGTCAATGGGCGAGAGGAGGACAGGACACCCTGGACAGGTCACCAGTCCATCGCAGGGCAACACAGAAACAAACAAACCATTCAGCACACACTCACACCTAAGGAGAATTTTAGAGAACCCATTTAAAGGCACACTATGCAACATTTTTCAGTTAATTAATGTGTTCCATAACGTTTTGGATGATTAAATGAGTCATTTCAGGTTGAACAAAGGTATTCTTGGCTGCCCTGGTGGTCTGTGGGGGAAATACCGCACTTGCAATTGCAGGAGCACCGACCCGCACCCACAGGCTCAGAAGTCTCGCGAGAGTCGGTCTTGGTTTACAGCGAGAACTGCTACACCCCCCAGTTAAAAGCATGCTCGTTGCTAGCGCAGTGGCGATCTTTGTGCAGTGCTGCTTTCACACCGGACGCAGCAAAAGCAGCAAAATCGTGTCTGCTGCTTCATTTCTGCTGCTTGTACCAGTTAGTTCTGACGCGCGGCTGAAGCAGCTTTGCTGCTCTGGCTGCGCGGTGCAAAAGTGTGTCTGACGCGCGTTGGGCGGAGCTTCACTATCCTTTCTCTGCGTTGCAGCTATATTTGCTGTGATCAGTGGGAATGAAGTAGTTTTAATATGTGTTTAAGTGAGAAAATACACCTGAAAATGTAATCAGTGCAGTCAGTTCATTCAGATTATCATCCTGCCTTACAATATTTTTTCTGTCGGAGCCGCTCAGACCCCCACATACCAGCGGTGCGCCGACAGTAGGAATCCCTTCATCAGCAGCCTCTGGCCGGGTCGCCTCCTCGCGGTTCACCGCGGCAGCTGGTAGGTGTTTTTCATCTAAATAATCCAAACTGCAGGCAGCAGGATAATAAAAGTGAACATATTCTGCCGGCAGATTTCTGCATTTTAAGTTAATTTAGGCGTCAATAAACTGTTTAAGAGGAGTGATCATAGCACTCTGATCATCAGCGCTGTGTCTCTCTCCCTGCCAGCTCCCAGATCAGCTTCTCTGATTGGTTGACGCGGCGCGTCGAGCAGCAAAAATTTAATTTTTCCATCTCGAGCAGCAGCGCGTTTGCGGCGCGTCACGCGCGTCAGATGCTTAGTCATTCGTTGCGTTCGCCTGTCTGCTAAGCTCAAAACAACCGCGCCTGGCTTGACGGAGAAACCAGGAGAACAGCTGTGCATATTTACGACAGTGCACTTTTACTTTCGCCTTCTGGGGGGAGCCTCGCTGGAAAATCAACACCGGCTGCATAGTGTACCTTTAAACTAACAGTCATGTTTTGGGACTGGCGGAGGAAGCCAAAGTACCCAGAGAGAACCTATGCATGCTCAGGCAGAACATGCAAAAGACCCCGGGCCAGGAATCAAACCCGGAACCTTCTTGCTGCAAGGCAGCAGTGCTACTCACACTCATGTGTGTGTGTTTGAAATAAAAAGTTTTATGAGTTTTTATTATGATGTGCACGTTTGTCAGAATTTTCACTTCATATCCTGGGATGGAGATCGGACCTGTAAAGCAGGGGAATCAGACCATGTGATGGTGGCAGCATTATGATTTTTTTTAAGGTACGTATGCCATTACACTGAAGAAAAAAGCAGTTAAGAAAAAGCCAAAGAGACTATTGTTAGATCTGCTTTTTCTTTCTTTAACAGATTTACTTCCATGTTTTGTGTTTTTTTTTTTTATCAAGCTAGCAACGTCAATGTCTGGGAAAAGACTTTGGAAACCTTTCTGTAATTAATAAGAATCCTAAAGACAATATAAATAATCACTATATTTATAATCCATTTTCATCCTGACCCACTGTCTAGCAGAATTCTAACTTCAACTGAACTCGTTTCAAAGCACTTATTTTGTAAAATCTTGACATAAAATACTAAAGCTTTTCATATTCATCACTAGATCAACGCTTTCAGTTCAGAGCTAACAGTGGTGATATAGTGATATCCTAAATCTATCTTGAAAACTGACTAGTAAGGCTGTGTCAGACATATAAGTCAGCAAAACTGAGGGCAGCACTTATCCTCTGACCTTAAGGGTCCACAGGCCTCTGGGCTGCTCTCCCCAGCAGTGCAGCGTCATCAGGGTCCAGTTCTTCAGGCCAGCGGCCGAGTCGTCATTGGGCCGAGTGTCCAGCAGCAGAGAAACGGTTCCACCGGGAGACTCCAGACTTATGGACAGGTCACCTCGACACGGTGCAGTAAGGCTCACTCTCACCTGGGGAGTAGAGAAGCATGAATAAAGCATTTGCTGAAAGAGGACGAGTCATAAACATGTTGAGTTATTATCCTATGAAGAAGAACAACCTCTCATCTGATTTAAAAAGTAAACCCCTTCCACTGTTTATTAGGTTTTAAAGAGACAGACAATAATACAGATAGATTCAAGCTCTCAGAAGTTAAGATAAGCAGAAGCTCCCAGAGACTTTAGCAACACTTAAACTTTGAAGAGTTTGCAGAAATATGACAGTTTTGATTGAACAAAACTTTATCAGAAATGAAAAAGCTAAGGTAAAGCTAAGGGTTACTTCCTCCCTAAAACAAAGCACCCTTTTAGTGTCTTAAAATAAATTCAGAGTGCTCTTTTATTAGCCCTTCAATTGCATTTATTTTTACATTGAATGGTAATTTGCAAAGTAGCCAAGGCTTATTTTTATACAGTAAATGGAAGCAGGAGGCAGTGCTGTAACTGGTGATCTTAAGGTTGAACTGTTTAAAAAAGCAATTCAGTTTGAAAAGTATAAATACCACAGTTGTTAAATTGGACATTGCTTTATTTGGTTTTAAATAGTCTTTAAAGATGGATCAGAAAAGCCAGATTTGATTTTCAGTGCCAAATATATGTCCTCCAAATCATATGCATAATCTGCCATAACTTTTACAAAACAAATACTAAAAATACTGAGCCTCAACTGTGATATCCATTAAGCACTTTTTTTTTAAAACATGCATTTTCGTTGTTTGGTAAAGTTACTCACAATCGATGAATTAATGTTATGGTCTTACTTTCTGGACCCTTTGTTTCTGTTAAGTTTTTAATTTTTGGGTTCTCAAGATTTCCATCATTTTTTTTGTATTCTTAGTTTTGCCTCCCCCCTAGTGTCCTTTTCTTAGCCCTTGGCTCCTTCTAGTTACCTCTGTCTACTCCTGCTCCCTACCTGCTCCCTTGTTTCTGTCTCCATTATATACACATCCTGTTCAGCTACTCATTGCTGGATCCTTGTCATTCTTTAGGTTCATTCCTCCCTAGTGTCTCCTAGTGTTTTGGTTCTTTAGTTTCTTGTTGATCGCTTCTGGACAATGGATTCTGTATTTTTACTTTTTCATTAAATTCTGCAAGAAATCATCCCTGCCTCTTCTACTCTGCAGTTGGGTCCACCACAACATCGAACAACCTTGACAGATAAACATGTGTTTTACTTAGGCATAGGATATTACGCGTACAATTGAAAAGTATGGTGCAGTAAGAGTACTTCTAAAAGTATATATTTGCAAAGAATTACTTGAGTAACTGCAGTAACAGAATCCCATATTTATATAAAGCATTTGAAGCATTGCTTTATATTTGCTAAATGACAATTTTGTAGTGATTTATGTACAGGAAACGTGTCCCTTACCCAGTGGTGTTAGCTCATTTTTACAAATGACACATAATAATGGTGCTCACCCAAACGCGTTTATGCAAACAAACCTGAATATTCGAAATGTTGGAGGTTGTTTTTTACAGTTTACTGCCTTTGCTCTGTATAAATTGCATGTTGCATATTTGAACCTCCATTTGTAAGCTTTTAGTTTTATTTTCAAAACGGACAAAATAAATTTAATAGCAAATACTTTTTTTAGACATACAAGAACACCTCAAACAATAAGTCAAGTTAGTTTTTTTTGCATCCTCCCTAGACAAGGTTATCATCTCATCCTTGTACGATTAAGACAAATCCTCGGTCCTTTTCGTTTCAGTCAATGCTAATAGACACATCTGGTACACAACCAGTGGGATGGCTTAAGGTCACACAAACTATATCGCTTCCAAACCGCAGTAATTTTGAAACCAGAGCAAGGAATTACTACGGTGCTCTCTGTTAGTGAATTTATAACCAAATCCAGCTGCTCTTGTCTGTCATGCTGTACGTGCCAAACAGATGGACATGGCAATGATCTGTCCATAACCGTCCCCCTCCCCTAAAAGGATGCACGGAAACAAGCAGGTAGAGAGAGAAGGAGAGGGAGAAAAATAATCCAGAAACAGCTGAGGGGAATATTAGCTAAATGATTTAGATAAGCAACCCCCCCTCCATTCCTACCCCCACCCCACCAAACCCAACAACAACCCGGTAAACACCCGCCCTGTCCCTGTTCATCACAAGCAGCACATCTGGTGTGACAATGGCACATCGAGGAGAGAGCCGCCAAGCTGCAAAAAGACTGACAGCCTGGTTCTGTTTACGGCATGTTACCACGGCAACACGTCCATCAATCACACCTCGCAGCGATGGCCTGACCCACGCTTTCTGCCAGGGAGCAGAGCTGCAAAGATGAAGCCTTTTCAATTTCCATGCTGACACTCTCTCTCTCCCTCTCTCTCTGTGTCTCTCTCTCTCTCGCCGCTATTTCACAAGTACACAAACTCACAAACACCGATAACTCACTCAAACTCAAATGTGCACCAACAGACACGTATGCCTGCTGTCACAATCAAATATAAACACATTTGCATGTATGTGGCGGTGCTCAAGAAAACACAGTTTTGCCATTTTTCTGCAAATGACACTGCCAACACATTACACATCACCGTGGGATTCTTTTTTTTCCCCCTTCATCTCCTCTATTCTGAGATACAGCGCATGACAGAGAAACTCGAAAACAATTTGTATGACATCTTCATGCCTCCCTTCAAGCCAGAAGTTTGAATTTGAAACTGATTCTGCTGGATTTGCATGTTTTCAAGGGCAAATGGAAAGTGGAGCATTAGTAGAAAGAATGAGATCTGCAACTAGTGGAACAAGTTGGCCTTAATATGTTGTAATTTTCCTATTAATTTAAAAACTACTGTTACTGATACATAAACACACATAATCACTACAAAAATGATATATCTTTTGTTACATTTTTACACATCGAGGTCGCCGTTTGCATACTGTGTATTAAGCGGTATCAACCGACTGGACTGGAACCTTCTGGGGAAACACAGGAATTCTAACATACTAGAGCTGTTTTGTTTTATTATAAAGTTTGCTTTTGAATATTTTAAACTTAGAAAATTCCATACTATCTAAAGCCCCTGTTACATGTTGATGATTTAGACAGTGTATGCCTGACATTCAAAAAATCTGGCAAAAATGCAGACAAAATGCAAAAATGGAATAAATTATGGATACATTTTGTATAAGTTATGACTTGACGCTAATCATAACTTATACAAAACATGCCCAGTGGGTAGCACTGCTGCCTTGCAGCCAGAAGGTTCTGGGTTTGAATCCTGGCCTGGGGTCTCTCTGCATTGAGTATGCATGTTCTCCCTGAGCATGTGTCGTTTCTCTCCGGGTTCTACGGCTTCCCCTGACAGTCCGAAATCATGACTGTTTGGTTAATTGGCTTTTCTAAATTCTCCTTAGGTGTGAGTGTGAATGGCTGCTTGTCCTGTTTGTCTCTGTGTTGCCCTGCAATGGACTGACAGCCCGTCCAGGGTAGATCTCAGCAGTAGACATCTGGAGATAAGCACCAGCACACCTCCTGACCCCGCTTGGGATAAGCGTGACCGAAGATGGATGGATGGATGAATGACTTCACACTCAAGTATGCTGAAACACACTGAAGTACGCTGGCACACGTCAACATACTTTCACATTAACAAATACACATTTTTTTGTTGGTTGTACGCATAAATGTATTGTTTGTTGTGACAGAAAAAAATTTAAAAAGGGAAAAACTGTCAAGGGGCGTGAATAGTTTTGCAAGAAACTGTAAGAACATATCAGAACATCTGTGGGTTAAATACACCTGTTTTTTTTTTAAAGTAAAAAGTTAGAAAACCAACTTATATTTTCATTTCTAGCTGAGATTTGGATGAAGAGACAGATGATACCAATCTGATCTTATCTACCATATCATTCTCACAGGAGCTGCATCAGGTCAGCTTATCTAAGCCTACTGGCTAGATAAAAGAAAAACTGTCAAAGAGAACAAAATCCATCTGCTTGGCCGTTTAAACTTCACTGATTTCACTTTTATATTCCATTTGTCGAAGCTGTGCAAAGAACGTCTTGGCACCTACAATTATTCAACCTTTACTGCTTAATTGTTTTATTGGTACATTAAATCTTAGTCCAGGTTTTGTAATAAACAAATCAGTCGAGAACAGTTTAGATATTTTAATAAATGTAATAAAACAAGTATTTTATTAAAATTTAAAACAAAATCCCACTTTATTGTTTGCTGTAGTTCTAAAATTATTCAGCTGTCTGACAGAGCATCTGAGCGGAGCGTGGAGCAGAAGAAATATGGTGGAGCGGTTTTCCATTCAAAGGCCGGAGCGAGGATTTCGCTCCGCTCCAGTTTGCTCCGATATTTAAATTCATGTTTGACTTAAAACCTAGGCCAATGCCTATGCTGTAGTCTGGGCCTAGAATCTGTTATAGTCTATGTTTCAACTTTACCACGCAATCCCCGAGACAAGGATTGCTTATTGTTTGATAAAAAGTGGGATAAAATATCATAAAAAACATACACTAACTATACGTAACAACAGAGAGTGGGTTCACATAAAGTGATTGTTGTGGTAAGAGCCTGTTTATGAAAATGAATCCAATACATGCATTATACGCTAATATCTCATTTGCAACGGGATGCGAAATGACCTTTTTTAATGTAGTGAAATAAATTTATAATAAATAGGAAACACGGGGCAACATGAATGGAGTGAGGTGATACAGTACGTTCAGAACAGGGAAACAGCCAGTTAAATAAAACAATACACATGAATCAGTCACATCATTAAATCAAACGCTGTTTGTCCCAGGGCCCTGGCATAATTACACAAAGCAAAAATGTCAGAAAATGCCTTCTCCTGAAAATTAAGGTGGTTACGTAGCGGATTTGGAGCAGAGCGTCCTGGTGCTACTTTGAGAGAGCACACATTATAGGCTCAGATGTGGCTTCAGAAACATGATACAACAAAGCGTCTTTTTTAGTAGGATGCTCTTGAAACAACACTGAAAATACCAGGAGTGCTGCAGGGTCAAGAGGATTGGCCAAGAAAAAATCTGAGAAAATGTCATTACATTGGACACAGATAAACAAAAATAGTTTTAGTTTCTACAATAAGGCCTATACTGGACACCAAGTGGAGCGACGTCTGATTTAGAAAAGCAAAAAGCTGGTGAGCAGTGGTTTGCTCACAGCTATATAAATAAGCCAGAGAGGTTTTAGGGACCCCACCATGTGCAAGGATGAATAGAAACTGAGTTTTTGATGGATCCGTATATTTGGAGAATGAAGAAAATGCTGAAAAGATAATTTCTTCAATGAAGCGTGGCAGTGGCTCAGGAATGCTATGTGCTTGTTTTTCTCCAGGGTGTGAAGTAAACAAATGATTAAGTCAGGTTTGGTAGCCTAGTAAACTAGCTCCACCTGCCAGCGGCCAAAATCATTTTTGCCTGCGAGTTTGGTCTAGCCTCGAACAATGCCCCTGGCCCTAGAACTGGCGGGCCAATCACAACGCAGAGATGTGTTTTGAGTTTTTGGATGCAAAGCGGGGTTTTGAGGGCGTGACAACAAAGCTGCATGACGCTGGAGAAAGCTAACAAGGAAGATGGCAACAGCTGCGGCAGCAGCAACTTTCAATGGAGAGCACCATTGAAAGTTAAAAGTTCTCTTTTCTGTTGCTGTTGTTCAATAAAATACGTTTTAAGATCATGAGGCAAGAATATTATACTTTAAAGCGTCACTATATGTGGTTTAATTCGTAAGTAAAAAATCAATTTCTGAAGATGAGAGGACCGCGGCAACCAGTGGAGCTCCGAGGCTAACAACAGCCAAGGCTAGACCGTCTGCAGCGGCCCTTTCTCGGCATAGTCATGTCTGAAGGACTGCTGGCTCTGGTGGCGCGTTTTGACCCAGCTTTGGAATCAGTTTAGGAAGGATAGACTTGGGGTTTTCGTTCATACGTGAACAAGAAGAGGCTCTACGCTGATTCATTTTTTGTTTTACCAACAAGCTGTTTGTTTACACTCCCCCACATGCTTTCTATCGCGCTTACCAAGTCACAGTCAGTTGGGCTCATTGGTCAGAGCCAGAGATGGCAAAAGTACTCACTTTCCATACTTGAGTAAAAGTACAGATACTTGTGTTAAAAAATACTCTGGTAAAAGTGGAAGTACTGATTAAACTTCTTTACTCAAGTAAAAGTAACAAAGTACAGGCTTGTAAATTTACTTAAAGTATAAAAGTAAAAGTAGAAACCACTTTTTTCATGCCGTTGCCTACATTTTAAATGGATGTCTGCCAATAGGACTAGATCTCCGTTGTGTTCATTTTCAATCATCTCGTCGTCCATGCTACTATGCTAACGCCACCGCCACCAAGCTGCAATGATTTGCTGCGAATGAATACCGCCGAATCTGTCGATTCATCTTGTAGTGGTGCGTCAAATGCAACGTAGATTCCCATCCAATTAGATTGAATTTGGTATTGATGACGTGAAAAATAATAACGGTAACTCCATTGAAATGATTCAAAACTAAAGTAACGAGCCAATTTTTTTAAATGTAAGGAGTAGAAAGTACAGATATCTGTGTAAAAATGTAAGGAGTAGAAGTAAAAAGTCGCCATAAAAATAAGTAGTAAAGTAAAAATATCAGAAAAATCTACTTGAGTACAGTAACGAAGTATTTGTACTTCGTTACTTCCCATCTCTGGTCAGAGCATTGGCCAATAGGCACAGACATGGTTTGAAAAACAACGGGTTGTTCTCATCAACAATCTTCCGATGTCTCATTCATCGGTGCCAGACTAAATAACACCTTTCATCTCACATTTTGTCTGGTTTATCAGGCTACAGGTTTGTGGAAGTCCTCGGAGAAAATGTCTGGCTCTCTAAGAGAATGCCAAAATATAGAAGGTCAAAACTCCTGCAGGCGACAATCTCAACCGGGGAAGATTCTCAATCATCAAGGTCATAGTCATTCCAAAAAAAGTTTAAAAAATTAAAAAACAAACCAATGGACTTTGTTTTCTAAGTTTGAAGATTTTTCGCTTCTCATCCAGGAAGCTTTCTCAATTCAAAATGTCTCGAGAAGCCTTGAGTTCCAGGCTTATAGAGTGGCAAAAACAAAAGCCTGGTGATGGCTTAGAAAACATGCAAAGTGAACCCCAAAACAGGTCCAGCCCATAGTAATGGGGAGTCTTTGAGGTCGTTGTCGGCCTGCAATACCCAATACTGGCATATGCCTCTGAAAAGGGAGGGTCATTGTTAATATTATTTTAAATTTGCAGTAAGTTATAAAAGATAGCGATGAATCTGTTAAGTAGGGACAATTATTTCCTTTTTTGAGTTTTTATGGCACTAGTGGCTCGTTTATTCGACAGTAGGCTGACAAGACAGAGGGTTTGAGAGAAGGGGAGAGACATGCTGCAAAGGACAACAGGTCAGATTCGAACCCGGGTTGACCGCATCGAGGTCGTAGACCTCTGTACAGGGGTCGGGCGTGCTAACCACTGCACCACCTGCACGCCAGTAAAGACAATTTTAATGGGTGGGCTAAATCATTTTAAGAAAGGAAGAGGTAATTTGATAACTCAGTAGCAGATTTGCTGTTGCAAATTCATAATGTAGGAAATTTTAAACATAAACTCTTATGAGAGAAGTACTTTACATCCATATTTTGATCATCTCCATCATACTTTATATCAGAGGAGACTAAGACATACTGAGAAGAACCTTACCTGCACATGCTCCAGCGTATTGACTTCATTGGCTGTCCCCTGGCAGGCATCAGATTCAATGTTGATGCTCACTTGACCTCTAGCAGAGAAAAGTCTGCAAAAATAATAATGTTAATCATTATTATCATGAAAGCCCTGCAGATTTAACGAGCAACTGATGGGTTAAGCAGGACACCATAATGCCAGTTTCTGACCAGAATTTCTATAAGCAAGTGTTCAGTGATTTGGTTGACCAGGCAGTTAAAGGGTTAGATCCAAAGGTTTTGTACCTGGGAGATTTAAATGTGACCTCTTGTTTGCACTTTCTCTGTGGAGCAGCTCTGTGGAACCGCGCAGCCTGCTGCACCATCAGCCCAGCATCCAGCACTCCAAAACCATACCTGCAGCAAGCAGAAAGGGGCTAAATTAAATCATTTATGGTATTTCAATAGATTTAACAAATTCGGTTCCTGTCAGAAACAGTACAGTTAAGCCCCCCCCCCCCCCCCCCCCCCCCCCCCCCCCCCCCAAAAAAAAAATCCCTGGCAGATTTGGATTCTAAATTAAATCCAGGTAATCAATACATTTTTTGCTGATTTGGTTTTCTTCAAATGATGTAAATCAGTTGGAATTTTAGTTAATAGGAAAATAAAAAACACACACACTAGATTTTAGATACGTTATTAAAAATGTACTGTCAGAAGTTACTTATCCTACTTATCCTCCTACAGTAAATACTTGAGGGAAAAACTTTTACTGTTGTATCCTCTTTACCTGTTTCCTTGCACATTTTGACATTTTAGTTTAGGTAAAGAGTTTTAAATCTTTAAGGTCTGAAGGTCTCGCTGCATAATCCTAATCTGTGTGTCTCCACAGATTGTTTCTCATTAGAAGAAACCATTGGCGACTAGGGAAGCTAAACCTACCCTGTTTCGTAAAATAGATGGTGAAATACTAAATTTTTAACTTCATAAATAGAGAGGGTTTATACAGGAATGAGTAACTAATAATAATTTAAAACCATCAACAAGCACCCATATATATATATATGTATATATATATATATATATATATATATATATATATATATATATATATATATATATATATATATATATATATATATATATATATATATATATATATATATATATATATATATATATATATATATAAATCCAACCACCAACAGGCTGCAGCCATGTCCCACTTCCTCATTTTCCAGCCACTTTCGTTGAAATAAGCATTTTCCCATTCTCTAGCTTTTTATTCGCCTCAAGCTTCTTCTTCTGACGAAATTGTTTTTATAACGTTTTTTTTTTTTTATAAAAATACAGCATTAACGAATTTTAATGCCAATTAAGGCCTTAATTTAGAAAATATAATAATAATTCAATGACTTTTAATGATTTTGAATGACCCACGGAAACCCTGATATAGTCTTTAAACTGTAATAAATAGGTGCTAAATGTGATCTCGGACGTAACCTCCCCTTTGCTCTGGTGCAGCAGGATGCTGCCTGCCAGCCTCCAGGAGAAATCCCAGTTGAGGTTTGAGTCTTTGTGCATTGAAGCAACCAGTAGAAAGCAGGCCTCTGATTGGATAATAAGCAAAAAGCCATCCCTTAATTGAGGCTAAGCCTCTAAATGGTCTATGAGCAGGTGTGGGCGGGTCGTGAAGCTGGCTATTTGATGCGGATTGGGAGAACAGGCTGAAAGCTTTGACTGACAGCGGCCAGGCACTCATAAGACTCAGACTAGAGAAGGAAAAATATGGCCATTCCTGTGCTGAACTCTTGCTGTGGTTTCTGGAGTTTACAATTTCAGAGTGCTTCACAACAGCTATTTTCACTCATTGTAGTAATGTGTTTTATGTGTTTCAACATTTGTTGATGCACAACGCTACTTTTGAATTCAATTAAAACCAGTGATCCTCCTCTGTTTATGACAGAAGCAGCCGTCACTGGAAGAAGCATATTGACAAAGTAAAAGCAGACAAAATCTACCAGGGGATATGGAGTGAATTTTGTTCCATTGTTGTTGCAAGCAAAGAAAATGTTTTGTAAAAAAAAAAAAAAAAATGCAAGCTAGGAATAAAACTTTGAAAAAAAAAAATCATAACATTTTTTGCAGATTACATTATCTTCACTTCTTGCCCAATACGAACATTTGCAGTGTACCAATAAAATGTTGCTGATAGCTTTCATGTAGAGTAATAGTATTGCATTTTCAAAAATCCCTCTAGAGAAAAGCTCGCCCCCAGAAGTGAAAACAATGTAATATGTAAAACTCAATCTGTAAAAATCTGTAGTGTAAAAAAAAAAAAAAAAATACATACAGTAAACTACAAAAATATAACCTGAGAAAACAAAACGTTTAACTTTTTAAAGCCCGATCCAAGAATAAAACAAAACAGAAAATTATTTTTTTTTTTGGTTTGAAGTCCTTATTTGGCCTTTTAACAAAATATGTAAAAAGAAAAAACAGAAATGTATTTTTGATAATAATAATTTATTACTATGCGATAAGTCAAGATTATTTTTTGTGTGGTCTTCTGCCCTCTGTTATCAGGTATATCTGATTGTGTACAATAGGATTTTGAGCAAAGTTTTTACCGTTAAATTATGCAAAAGGTGTCAGACGCAAAACATTTCAGAAACCGTATGTATCAAATATCATACATTTGGCATTACAGGGTTAAATACATTTTTTTTTTTGTAAATGTCCTTTCTGGGTAAAATTTTAAAAAATTTCCATTTGCAAAATGAGTTGTTTGCTTGCATATATGGGTACTATATGCCATTATTTGCTTGCAAATAAGTGGTTTAAAGAATTTCTTTCAACAAGTTGGTTGAAATGTGAATAGCTAAAGGGAGGAAGTATCTTCTATAGCAGCACGTCTTACACTGAATGTATACAAGACTTCAACTGAAGACACTGTTGTTTTTAACAGTGTTTTGAAGAGGATGTTCTCGGATGTTCATGGTGTTCTTCCCTTTATGAGGAATGTTTTTTTCTAAAATCATCTCCAGAGGTTCTAGAGGAATTCATAGAACAGGGCATTCTTTATTAGCTTGTTGAGTTTCTGTTAGTCATTTGCTCTGATACTGTTACCAAAGCAGATGATGGCAGAAAAGATCTGATTCTCTACAACAGACAGAGAAGATATGCAACATCTTGCTGAAAACACTGAAGGACCCAAGGTACCTTCAGAAGTGCATTGTAGAAAATAGAAATATCTTATCCTGGATAATGCTGAGAAATCAGTCATGCATTTGTTACTTTAAGGCGACTGTTGTAATTCTTTAGAAGCAACTTCTGTGATCTGAGTAAGATTACAATTTCTGTCATTTCTGTTGTCATGTTTGATGGTTATTTAATGCTTAGAAGTTATGAAGTGTTATTTAAAGATGTTGTCCCGAGTGAGCTCTTTACAGGAGATCAAACGATACGATAACGTTCATAACGTAACCTCATGATCAGGAAAAGATCATGACTCTCCAAATAACTAATAAAGAATAGCTTCAAAATTAATTAAGTAGGTTGCGTAATGTCTAACTATATGATCAAATACCTAACCAGAATCATGCCACAGTTGGTGATTAAAAATATAATAATGTTTTCTTCTGCAACTTGCTGAAAAAAAAGTAAACATATGTTAGTAAGGGTGTATGTATATTTTCTGTGTGTATAATTTTTTAAGCTGACAAAAAAAAAAATCATTTGTATGTGCAATTTCTGATTTAAACTTATTAAAAGATAATTTAGCTTTGGAAAAATGACATTCTGGTTGCAGAATTAAAAGCTTAAAAAGGATCTAACGTTGCATGATCAGAACTGTACTTGCAAGCTGGAAATATAGCCGAGACACTGCAGGAGCAGAACAACATGCAGAGGCAACAAGTTATTGATGAAGGAGACGTCGTCCTCTGACACAGTCCTTTCCTGCCGCCTGGGCCGGAGCTGCGGTTTGTGCTGCCCGTAATTGTCTGGCGGATTGATTCGAAGCAATGTTCCATCTCACTGACCGTAATCAAGACTCATTATTCATTCTTTACCAACCCAATTTTGATGCTGGCGACACAATGGCCGACCTTTAAGCTGCGCTTCTGCCTGGTGACTGTATGACCACTGCCTATCAACCTCTTCTTCCCTCTTTACTAATCATCACTTCAGAATAATCTTCTCTCATTCTCATATTTTGCCCCTATATTTCACACAGACATGGCGTCATTGGAAATTCTCCTTCGCTCTTCTCCATCACTTAAATTTCGCACTTTAATCCATTCATGATGAAATCAAGATCCAACATTTGGATGTTATAATCTGCATAATTGTCCATATTTATAATCTTTTGCTTAAACAGAGAACAGCAACAGTGCCATAACTGTCCCCATTTTCTCTCCCTTTTAGAAAATTAGAGGGCATAAGAAACTGCTAATTTCTGCCATTATAACAAAGCAGACTTTGCACTGTTAATCTACAATAAGTGAAATTCATTATCCCAATGAAAGGGTCCCTTGGAGAGAAGATTGGGATAGGAGAAAGATGAGCGATGATCAATAACTCAATCTGTTGCCCTGCATGAGGCTCTATCTCCTCTGGCCCCGACTGTCACTGCATCTAAGAAGGAGCTGCAGCACCGTCCTAACAACACGCAGAGCAATCAATGGACACAATCTAATCAGCCACTATCACCACCAATGACTTGTAACATGTAGGTCCCGACATAATAGCGCCAGGCAGTGGTTGAAATGTGCAGAAAGTTCAAATGCGTTGAGGGTTTGAGAAAAAAGAAGAGTAAAAACTAAAGTAAGCTGATGAAACGTGTAGGAAGAAAACAAGAAAGTGTGTTTTTTTCTTTTATTTTTTTAACCAATCAGTATGAAAGATCTGAAAGCAGAGGGAAAGCAATCCTGAGAGTAGTTTGTCTTGTTTTATTGTATACTGAAACTTCAAGACTGGTTATGAATCAATATTTCTGAGTTTCAAAGCTCATGAAATATAAAAAAAAAAAGAACACAGAGGGAATTCATCACTGCAGCCATCAGTTTATGTCTCGCTGCTGCAAACTGTTAAACCAAGAGAAATCTGCAGCAGGCAACAGACAATTTCAAGTCTCACATGCATCACCAGTCCAAAAGTTGCAGGTATAATTACTTACTCACGATGAACCTGGAGGTGTATCCACACTTTTATATTTGTCACACTCTTTTCATTTCACATAAATGAATTCTGTGTCAGGGATGGCACTAATGGAACCAGCCACAATGAATTTGATTAAGAAAAGATCGCTGTGCTATATCATAGCACTTGTGTTTGTTCTCACTTTACACGCCGGTGCAAGATGAAGTCGACAAAACCTTCTTTTCTCTTTTCTAATCTCTCACCTCATGTGTCTC